CCCCAAAACCCCAAAACCCCAAAACCCCATCAATCAAGATTAAGATATATATTAAATTTACCTGATATAAATAATTATTATTTTCTAAGATTCAAAATTTTCTAAACATACTTGCTTTTTGCTTTATAATTTCAGCCTTTGTAATTGAGAATCTTCCATCTTCAAAAGTCGTTCTTTGAGTGAGTTCTTATTCAAAATTGGTGATATCAAATGTATCATCACTTAGGATAGGCCTATAGGGAGCATCAAGTTTTTTAGTTTATAATTTTGCGAAATCTATCTTATTGAAGAATGGATGTTTCATAACTTCCTAGAAACCATTATTTCCTAGCCTCTTTGCTGGGTCTTTGTGAAGCAATTTTTCAATAAAATCTCTGCAATCTTTGCTCAAAGGAACATCATTTGGGAATTTAAGCTTTTGCTTCAAGATCTTTTTAAACATCATACTCTAGCTTTCTTCATAAAATGGAGGAGTTCCAACGAGCATTTCAAAAGTTATTGTTCCAAGAGCCCACCAGTCAACGGGGAAAGAATATCCATCTTAGGTGAGCATATCAGGTGCCATATACTCTGGTGTGCCTCTGACAGAATAAGTTCTCTCTCTTGTACTAAAATCTAACTACTTTGATATTCCAAAATCAACCAATGAGATATAGCCTAAAAAAATAACAAAGATGATTAATACCTGTATCATTTATGAGGATGTTTTCAAGTTTGAGATCTCTATATAAAATACTAAAACTATGCAAGTTTCCGAGAGCTAAAACTAATTAAGCAATTATGAATCTAGTTTGATCTTCATTAAACTTTTCAATATTCATTAAATGCATAAATAAGTCTCCTCCTCTTACGAAGTCCATAACAAAAAGAATTTTAGTTTCAGATTAAAATGAATAGTGTAGATTAACGAAGAATGGACTGTTTAACTATATAAAACTGTTATATAATCTATAATCTTACTCTGACAAGTAGGTCTTTCTCTAGTTTAGTACTTTCAAACATATCATCTTCCATTACAAGCTCCTTTTATATACATTTCATAGCAAAGGGTCTTGAATTATTTTTCTTCTTAATTAGATACACATTACTAATACTTCCTTTTCCAATCAAATTCATAATTTAAAAGTCTGTCAATTAAATGTTTTTGTCAACTTCCTCTCTAGCATAAATAAGTGTAAAAGTAGAAGATTAAGACATAAGCTCTTCAGTTTCTTCATCTTGGATATTGTTTATCAAATCCCTCGGGTTAAACTCTTCAATCTTAAGTTCTTCAGCCACAAGTCTATACTATATCATATTAATAAATATTATTTACTTTATCATCTGGAAGTGGTTTCTATAGATATTATCTAAATTACTCCCTTGAAGTGAAGATACTCTCGATTAGAATATCATCTGGTATTCCATATACTGGAATGTTTTTTGTTGACCATCTCAAGAAGCACTCTTTCAAGTAAAGAATTATTGTGTCACGCCTATATACAATTATTAAAATATGAAGATAATTTACTGATCTGATAATATGCGGATATCATGTGAATTTATTGGATGAATCAGGAACTCATATTAATTTGTCTAGCTCTTAGTTATCCCTCTAAGCTCTCTATGATGAACTCTTCTCCTTAATACTAATGTTTTGTTAAATTCATTTCTTCTCATGATATTGACTGTCTCATTAGTAATAACAATGACTCGCTAATACTATATTCCAGTTTTGTCATTGTGCTTAAGTATGTCTAATGAGAAAAAGATGTCTTATGCCTTCTTCTCTGTAACAGTATTCCTACCACTCTAGTTGAAATATAGTTCTAGAAGTTTTATGCTCTTAGATATTCCCACGTTATCCTATATACCAAGTTCATTCATTTTCTGAAATTAAATAATTGTAAGAATGTAATAATGATTTATACATCCCTAAGGGGTTTTGGGGTTTTGGGGTTTTGGGGTTTTGGGGTTTTGGGGTTTTGG